ATGCGGCCTCCCTGGGGGATGGACAACAGAAAAGTGGGTGAAGGGAGACATTGGACAGCGTAAGATATGACAAAATAATAATTTATAAATTATCAAGAGTTCATGAGGGAGGGGGGGAAGGGGAGGGAGGGGAAAATGAAGACCTGATGCCAGGAGCTTAGGTGGAGAGCAAATGTTTTGAGAATGATGAGGGCAATGAATGTACAAATGTGCTTTACACAATTGATATTTGTGTGAATTGTGATAAGAGTTGTATGAGCCCCTAATAAAACGATAAAAAAAGTAGATGGGTGAAATAATGAACTCCCATTACGCATGTTTATCATGGGCTGGTTGCAACAGTGCCCCATGGGCAGGGACTGCATGGCAAAGACGAGGCTCTAAGACCTGCCTACGAGCAGCCATGTAACCCCTATGGATGTTTGTGTATCAGGAATGCCAATGCTATAGCCCTTTCATAAACAGGTGTATGAAATGCCCCTCATGGAGCTTCTCCTTCGTAGAGGAGGGGAGATGCACAAGTAAATAAGCAGCATCTCAGGTAACCATTGGGCACCCGCCCACTGGCCATGCTATAGAATCATCTTAGAACACTCTGGGGTATGCAGATGACATAACCTTGCTCACTGGAAGGGAAAAGGACGCGAAGCACTTGCTGGTGAAGAGCCAGGACTGCAGCCTTTGCAGTGTGGATGACAACTCAATCAGAGAACACCAGACTCCTCACAACGGGACCAACAGGTCACAGCACGACGCACGGAGAAGAGGCTCAAGTTGTCCAGGGTTTTGTCGTGCTGGCTTTATGACCAGTGCTTGTGGAAGCAGCAGTCAAGATATCAAAGGATGCAATGCATTGGGTAAACCTGTTACGCAGGATGTCTTTAAAGTATTACAAAGCAAAAAGGATGTTCCTTTGAGGACTAAGGTGTGCCTGACCCAAGCTATGGTATTTTCAGTTGCCTCATATGCATGTGAAAGTTGGACACTGAATAAGGAAGACGGAAGAAGAATCGAGGTATTGGAATTCTGGTGCTGGTAAAGGATTCTGAATGTACCAAGGACTGCCAAAAGAGCAAACACACCTATCTTGGAGAAGGACCGCCAGACGGCTTCTTAGAGGCAAGGATCACGGTGAGACTTTGTCTCACGGTCTTTCGACACGTTACTGGAAGAGACCGGTCCCTGGAAAAGGACATCCTGCGTGGTAAAGTAGATGGGCAGCATTACAGAGGAAGACCCTCGCCCAAGGAGTGACATGGGGGCTACCGCAACGAGCCCAACCATACTAGCAACTGCGAGGAGGGTGCAGGACCGGGCAGCCTTTGGTTCTGTTGGACACAGAGTTGCCCAGAGTCAGAACCGATTTGGACCTAATTTGTGGACATTTTACTATGTATTAAAAAACCCAAACTTCTCGAGGGTAGGAGGGGGGAAAAAAGAGGAGCTGATACCAAGGGCTCAATAGAAAGCAGATGTCTAGAAAAGAATGATGGTAACTGACAACACAAGTACAAATATGCTTGATACAACTGATGCATGGATTGTTGTAAGAGTTGTAAGAACCCCCATTAAAATGATCTTTTAATTAAAAAAAACACACATAAAAACGAACGTCTAAAATAATACCCTTATTTGTTGTGAATGTTAGCATTGTGCTAGTCTAATTAAAATAGCTACCATTTTTTTCCATTCCTTTCTTCTCTCTGTAACTTGGCTATAATTTTGTTCATGAATTTGAAATCCCAATCCCCTTTCTTTACAACCTTTTAGGACTATGAATTCTGTTCACATTTAGTCTATTAATGGTATGTTGTATTACTTTAAACCTCTTCCCCTAAACATGTAACTAGAGAACTTCCTGGAATATACTTGAGAGAAATTTGGAAGATAAAGAATTGGTCTAGGGTTAAATCCCTCTTGCCTTTGGATTTTCATCATTAGCCCAGAAACTAATAAGATTACTTACATATGTCACACCTTTATGCTTCTACGACACAATGTGAATTTTAAAGTCACACCAATAGTATGATACTTGGGAACAACAACAAAAAATAGCTTAAAAATCAAATTAACCTTTCCTCAAGAAGTCAATAGCAAGTTGATGACTACATTGTAAGACAAAATTTTAAACCTGAATCTTCTTGGGCAAAGAGGAGTTTTACCTCTCATTTTTACTTGACCTCGAAATCTCTAAGAATAAGCTTTAAAAATCCAGCGTTTCTCCAGTCTTCTCTCTACCTGTGAAAAAATAGACCCCATCCTACAGAGCTGGAACTGTATCGACATGTAAGACTTTTAAAGAACTAGAAAATTCTTACGTACATAAAAGGGAGGAAGCACACAACAAGAAACGGATGCTGGAATGCACATGCTAGGAAAAGCAGGCAAATGGACGAGTTCTAGCACCGGATTTACATATTCCCACCATTTGTAGAATGCATTTAACTGGGTTGGAATTTTCTCAACAAGGACGCATATGGAGATAAAATATTTTCCCAAGCAAAACCCTCATCTTCGCTAGCACAGGCAACCGAATGAAAGATAAAATATAAAACACCAAACCCATCAAATAGACTGACACACAGCAACCCTGTTTATGGTTTCTGAGGCTGTGAATCTTTAGCGGAGCAGGCAACCTCATCTTTCTCCTGCAGAGCATCCGGTGGGTTTGAACCGCGGGCCTCGCAGTTCACAGGCCAATGGTCACCTGCAAGCACCACCAGGGCTCCTCTAAATAAAAATAAGAAACACATTAAAATGCTTTTAAATGCCCACATTTTGCTAGGATTAAATACTAGGAGGGAAATATGCTTGTTTACTTGTGTTACAGGCATTTACTGCAGAGAAGTTTCTAGAACTTTCCCTCCATTTTAAACTCTTTAATATTTCTCTCAACTTCATGACTTGGCAGGTGGAAAGACATTTTTCAAAGAACTCTATGCTTATCAAGAAGGGTTGGTGGTACAGTGATTAAGCTGCTCAGCTGCAACACAAAGGTGGATGGTTCAAACCCACTGACCGCTCCATGGGAGAGAGATGTGGCTGTCTGCTTCGGTAAAGACTGCAGTGTAAGAAACCCCATGGGCGGTTCCACTCTATCCTACAGGGGCCCTAGGATCAACTCTATGGCAAGCAGGTTTCCTATTTTATTATTACTTTTTGGTCTTTAGTTAAGTTCTTATTTTTCTTCTACCAGATGACCAGTGAGCACTATTTTCCTAAAGCATTTTAAATCATTCAAGTGTATGAAACATTTAAAGATCCATTTTTAACTAGAATACAAGGTTCAAATAACATAAAATAAGTGATCTATACAGACCATCTCCAAAACTAAAATCGACAAAAATGAACATAATAGTTTGGTGGGGTCTCAAAAAGTTAAATACAAAATTACCTTATGATCTAGCAATTCTCCTAGTATATGCTCAAAAGACTTGGAAACAAGAACTCAAACAGATACTTCTAAGAGTGTTCAGAAGAGCAGATAAATAAAATGTAGTACACATAATACAAAGGAATGTTACTTAGCCATAAACAACAGTGAAGTTCTGACACATGCCATGATATGGATGCATCTTGAAAACATTATGCTAAGTGAACTGAGCCAGATACCAAGGGGCAGATGGTATATGAGTCTATTGATATGAAATATGTAGAATGGGCACATGTCAGAGACGGGCTGCTATTGGTTGTTAGTTACCAGGAGCTGGGGAGAGGGGCACATAGGTGTGGAGTTAGTGCTTTAAATGGATACCGAGTTTCAGTAAAGAACTGATGGTGCTGACGGCCGCACTGCATGGGAATGTGATGACTGCCCTGAACCGTATGCTTACAAATCGCCAAAATGGTAAATGCTTTGTTACACGCGCGCGCGCACATGCACACACACACACACACACACACACACACACACACACAATATTACCGCAATAAAAACTGAATACTGTAGAATTATACATTGTGGACATTTGGTTCTCAATCTGGCTTTGTTCACAGAAACAGAGTCACGTTGACAGTTTAAAAAAGAAAATTCGAATATGGGATACCCAGTTACTTCTGGCAACATGGGAAAGGTCGTTTAGGAAGAAGAAGGAGTCGGATGCTCGTCTCATTTCTGAGTCACTGAGTCAGGATGCGTGCTCTCCCCCAGGAGCCAGGTGGTGGGAAGCAGAGACAGTATGCACGGAGGAAGAACACCTTCCTCCCTCACATGCGCGTGCCCACCTCTGGGAGAAGCAACTCCACCTTGCACAACATCCCAACCATGTCCCTACTTCTAATGATCCCCTCGGGGTCCTCATCGTCAGCCTGGGGCTTGCTCCTGATTTCGATTTCTCACCTCAGCATGCACCGCAGCCACATCCAGGTGTCCGTTAAGCTTACTATGATGTGCTCAGCAAATGCCACATTCATCATTCTGTTCACGTTATTGCCTCTCTCAGGAGTTCATTCCACCTCTTGAGGTTTCATGGATCTATCTGTGATACCAACTTTGCGCTCTGATTTCATCGTCATTCTATGTATATTAACAGTGACACAAATGGTTTGCCCTGATTACTAAAGGTTAGCAGTTCAAACCCACCCAATGGCCCCACAGCAGGAAGACTCAGCACTTTACTTCGGTCAAGACTGCAGCCAAGAAAACCCTAGGGAGCAACAGTTCTACCAAGTCACACAGGAGGTCACCGTCAGTCAAAACTGTCTCGACACAGTGTTGTTTTTGCGAGTGTAGATGGAAAAATCATGACAACAAGAATGTAGTTTCGCTGTCTCCTGGGCTTCATCAGATCTGGATCAACAGTGAAGAGATGGCCATTAGCAAACTGCCACAAGGTTGGTTCAGCAGGAAGCTAAAGAAGCAGAGGAGCGTTTCTCATCTGGAAATCAAGTCCAGATGTGAATTGTACCTTCGGAGGTTGCTCTGACGGAGAGAATGACTCAGTACATGAAGATGGACACCAAACAAACACGTTCCGTGAGTTGGAAGAATCAAATCTTACCTCTTGAAGTGATTCACCAGGACGCCAACCAGCTCTCCAATTCGACTCTCGTGGGTTGGCTGCTTGCTGAAGAGGCAGACAATGAGGTCTTTGTTGTCCTTTGTGTGGAACACCACCAGCTGGTCTTTTCCATTGGACACACTCAGCCCAGTCAACTGTAGAGAGCCAAAAACCATGGGAGGCTGTTAGGATGGTTTTCGAAAGAATGAATTTTAAAACACATTTTGTAATGGCGGTAAACCCCAAAACTTGCATCTTCTTCAGTTTCTTGGACGAGGGGTTGGGATTCATAGGTGGGCTTTGTGGAATTCAGGAATTGCCAGAAATTATATGCAAGGTAGGTTTTATGTGTGGCTGGACATTCTTCTGCACAGAGGGGCCACAGTTCACACGTTGAGTTTTGTTTTGTTTTTCAATATTTTATTGGGGGCTCTTACAGCTCTTACCACAATCCCCCTATCCATCCATTGTGTCAAGCACATTTGTACATATGTTGCCATCACACGTTGCGTTTTTAAACAGGGCTGTAACTCTAAGAAGATAAGGATAACTTGGAAAGTGGACTATCTTGGCTTTCTGGGTCTATGGTTAAGCCCCCCCACAGCCTCTTTCCCCTGTACCACAGACATGCTGTGCCTTTCATGTGTATTAGAGACAACAGAGGATATTAGGACATGATAGATATTTCCCATCACATGCAACACGGGCTGGAACTCTGTTGACAAAAGATCAACCCCTAAAGCGCCCAAGGTCGGTCACTCTGTCTTCTCACCTTGGTTCCTTTGCTGCATAGAACTCAAAACCAAATAATTCATCTGTTCAGTGTCTGTCTCTCCCTTACACCTTCTGCCAAAATTCAAGTTCCTTGAGAGCTTGAGCTTGGTTTATTTTGCTGATTTCTAGAGCTCCAGAGCCTGGAGGAGAGCAGGCACTTAGTGGATATTTGTTGAATGAATGGCTGAGTTCGATTCATTTTTATAGTGCCCTTTCCCCATAGTTTAATTATCTCCATTACTCTATAATATATTCCAGTACTACATCGCTGATGCTTTTCCATGTTAGAGTACACGTGACCAATGAAGTTTGTCTAAGGAATACACGGCCGGCTCGGTATTCAAATATCAATCAATGTAATCCATGACAGTGGCATGAAAAAATAAGAGAGAGAAAAGCAAAAAGCTTACGGTCATAAAAATTTGGCACAGGAAAAGATACTTCACAGGATTCAACACCCATTCATGATAGGAATCTCTCGGCTGACCAGATTTAGAGGACAACTTGCAGCTGTCACTGACTGCCCAACCCTCACAGCGGTCATCACGCTTGGCTAATGGCGCAAGGCGGAAGTTTCCCTGAGATTAGGAACAAGGCAAGAATGCCTGCTGTCCCTGCTGCTCCACAACACCCTATAGGAAGGCCGTGCACCGCAGTCACGCAGGGCCAGGAGACCAGAGCAGCGTCGTGGAAAGGCAGGCATGCAAGGTCTCCTTTCAGACTGCATGGTGTCTACAGAGACGTCCCGGAGAACCTCTGGAGCAGCCCCTAGACAAAGTGAGCTGAGCGAGGTTACAGAACACAGGCCGCCACAGATCCTATTGCTTCCACGAACAACCAGACACAGACACTCAAAACCAAATCCACTAAAGAATAACCCCAAGGCAAAAGTATCTAGATGGACATTTCCAAACAAGCGTAGGACTAATTCGTTGAAAATGATGAAATCTTAATGAAATAAAGAAAAGCAAAATGCTGATGGAAAAAATAAGAACACACTAAGTCGATGGAGTACACCATTGAGTTCATGAAATAGAAAAGTCAACATGGTTAAGCTGTCTACTCATGGACAGACTGAAGGCAAACCCCCCGAGGGTTTCGACCCGTGTTCTTCCCTTACCCCACATCCTTGCCTCTCCACCCGAGGTGACCTCTGTTCTGAATTCTGTGGCTCTCATGCCCTTGTGTTTCTAGAATAGTTCTGGAGTTGTTTATGTGGACCCCCAATACACTGTTTAGTTTTTTTTCTTCACTTTGTTGCCGTATTGGCTTTAATATTATTTTTTAATCATTTTGTTGGAGGCTCGTACAACGCTTATCACAGTCCATCCATCCATCCATTGTGTCAAGCACGTTTGTTGCCATCATCATTCTCAAAACATCTGCTTTCCACTTGAGCCTCTGGCATAAGCTCATTTTCCCACTCCCTCCCCGCTCCCCCCTCCCTTGTGAACCCTTGATAATTTACAAGTCATTATTATTTTGTTATATCTTACACTGTCCAACGTTTCCCTTCACCCACGTTTCTGTTGACCGACCTCCAGGGAGGAGGTTATATGTACATCCTTGTAATCGGTTCCTCCTCTCCACCCCACCTTCCCTCCATCCTCCTGGTATCACCACTCTCACCACTGGACCTGAGGCATTTATTTGTCCTGGATTCCCTGTGTTTCCAGTTTCTATCTGTACCAGTGTGCATCCTCCGGTCCAGCTTGGCGCCATCTTGACTGGAACTCCCACTGTTTTTGAGCTTAACACAGTGTTGGCTGTCTTCTATAACTTGCTTCTTTCAAAATTATTTCTAAAATATATCTACGTCAATGTATAGGCCTGCAATTCATTTTCATCCCTGTAACATATAATCCAGTGAATTAAAGCATGTTTTTTTTGGGGGTGGTGGTGTAGATATGGACAAGGCAGAGGATTTAAAACAGTCTTATCATTTTGGAAAAGAACAATACAGTTGGAGGACTCTCACTACCTGATTACTGCATAAGCACTCACTAGAAGGTTACAGCAATGCAGACTTTGGACACATGTGCAGGAGAGAGCAGTCTCTGGAAAGGGACATCATGCTGGGTCCAACAGAGGAGCAGCACCAAAGAAGAAGTCCCTCACAAAACGGACGGACACAGTGGCTGCCAGGACGGGCTGAAAAGAACCACCGTGAGGCTGGGGCAGCGCCAGGAGTGTCGTGTCGCCGCCTTCTGTTGTGCACAGGGGTGCTGTGACAGGACAAGCCCTGACAGGACTTCCCAATCACACTGCCCTGATGACAACGCGCTCGCCGCAAAGGGACAAAGACACCAGTCACAGTCCCAGAACGAGTGTGAGAAACAGACCAACACAAGTATTTCCAACTGGTATTTGACAAAAGACACAAAGGCTCTTCACTGGAGAGACAATCATCCTGTTCGTTTAACAAATGGTGTGGGAACATCTGGACATCCACACCCCAAAGAAACCAGGTTCCATCAAACGCCCCAAAGAGATCCGAGGTGAAGATATAAAGGTACAGTTATCACACGTTTGGTCGTAAGTCTGTGACCCTGGGTTAGGTAAAAGATCCCATCCACTAGACCACCAGGGCTCCTGCTGGAGAGGATCAGTGAGAGGGTTTATTCACAATTGGCTGAACCTACAGTGAACAGATAAGCCAACCATGATCCACGGATACAGTGGAACGCTAATTAGCCCGCCTCCCTCTTAAAAGAAGAGTGAACTAACGATACAAATGATCAGTATGTAAGATCATGGAGAAATCACAAAGGCATCAGGCCAGTTATACAACAGCTACAAGAAGACAAAGGAGAATGGATCGGGGCTGTGGAAGGTCGGGCGCAGTGGGATGACGCTATCCAAATAGTGGTGGTGGCTCTGTACACCCCGCCCCCCACCGAACAAAGGTATGATTTTTAATATGTAAATTTAAAAAATACCATTTCCTGATTGTTTTGATCCCTACATGTTCCACTTTGGTCAATAAAGCAAAAGTCTGAGGGACTTCACACTCGATGGTCTGTTCTCGGCAGAAAATACCAAAGTGCCACCTCCTGGCCACCACCGGTGCTGTCAGGCAGGCAGGCAGTCGGCACCAGCGGGGTGGCCACTGGGGACAGTGCCTGGCAGCCTCTGAGGCTGGAGATCCAGTCCACATTCTCGGGGGATTTACAGCTCACTGGAGCAGGAGGAGAGGGCAGCCGAAGAACATGTTGGCCGTCCATGGGCTTGGAAGCCCATGTGGTTCCCTGCGCAGAGCTGCTGCCTGACCCAAGGGCAGGTTCTTTGCATGCTTTCCCAAATATCAACATGTCCGTATGCACACAGGCTGTGCAAATAAGTATTCTCATGCCACGTGAATTCGTTTCCGCAGGAGATGAATTCTTAGGTTGGCTCTGGTGAATGCCAGGGCTGCTGCGTTGCGGAGAAGAGGGAGCCATGCTCGGGAGCAGAGAGCTGTTCACAGACTATGCATGCCTCGGGGTTGCAGGGGCTGCAGATGTACCACACGCATATGCTTTTCATGATTAAATTAAAAGTATTTCCATTGGGGAAAAAACATTTTATGTCTATGATGCTTCACTTCCATTCGATTAGTTTATACGTGAAGCTCAAAATGGAATTTATGTAGCATTTCATCGGGGAGCTTGATTGGAATCTAATCAAAAGAGAACGGTGAGAGCAGGAACTGCCGGCATATGCCAGGGGCATCAGCTGTCGGGTCAAGGCAAGGGGGCAGGGTCAGCAGGCAAGACTGGACCTACCAGGCCAGCCACCCCTTCCTGCATGCTACCTGAGCATGCAACGAGCACTTGCCCCTGCAGGGGGTGGTTCTCGTCTTCCCTGTCCCCGCTCTGCCCTGACTTTCTGCGGCTGTGGGCAGGAATTCTTCATTGTATGCTTGGCCCCTACGAACCCTGGTTGGATGCGGGAGAAGTCGATGGTTTGAACCCACCAGTCACTCCACAGGAGGAAGACAGCCTTGGGAGTCAATCTCCTGGGCAGTTCTGCTCTGTTCTATAGGGTGTACCAGTGGGAATGGACGCCACAGCAATGGGTTATGGGCACAAACAGCTAACTGCCAAAAAGCTGTCTTCGAGAGGATGACCGTCTCATCTAAATCAAGATACAATAGTAATATGCGAAACACGTTAAAGCACCATAGACATGGCAGGTTGGCTGTGGTTAGGGACCCACAAGTTGGCTCCAACCCACTGCGACCTTATGCACAACAGAACAAAACACCACCCAGTCCTGCTCCGTCCTCACAGTTGCTCGAGGCCATGGCGGCAGCCACTGGACGCAGCCACGGAGAGGGAAGGCAGTGTGGGGGAAACACCAGCCATCAGCGTAAAGCCATAACACACCTGCCTCTGAACCA